TTGACTTTGGGAGCCCTCTCCACATAGAGGAATACTCTCTCAGCCTAGACACACAGGGGAGCGCCTAGGCCCTGCTCCAAAGGCTATGACAACTCTGAAGATCCCCCACGGAAGGCCTCACCCTCCCTGAGGGGCAGAAAGGGGATGGGATGGGGGTGGGTTGGGGGGGCAGAGGAGGAGGGGAGAGAGAGGGAACTGGGATTGACATGTAAACAAGCTTGTTTCTAATTTAAATAAAAATAGAAAAAATAATAATAAAAAGAAAAGAACGTGTTCTTGTAAAATCTAGCAAGATGAAGAAAAATATAAAACACCAAGTTCAACTTGGAAACCACAAACATATGGCATTTACAGTAAAAAAAAAATATCTTGCTCCTAGTAGCAGAGTGTGTCCCCATTCTATCCATGTTAGCTATGCAAGCCACCCTTATGGGCTGATTTCAAACATAGAATGGGCTGCATTAGGTTGGAATTCAGATTCCTGGAACCCTGGGATAAGAAGGTAATGTAAGACATACAGAAGCTGCACATTGAGAACACACTGATGTGTGATTTGAACCACTGCCATATTCTTAGCATGTTGATGAGGTGCTTCTGTTTAAGGCCTTTTTTGCAACTTTAAATAAACATTTCTCTGGAAGAATTTATACATTAAAGCCAGACATCTAGAATGGGAATGACAATACATCTGCAAGCGTTTGTAAGACTTAAAGTAGATGAATGTCTTATTTGTGAAAGCAGTGTACTGATTACGTATTTCTGTATGTACTCTGAGAGTTCTGAAACAGGTTCCTGTGGTACATTACTGTCGTGCACATACATTTATTTTAAAAGGGAAATACAGTATACTAACACTGAAACAATCAAGAGGATTGAGGTTTATGCTCACTTAACAATAATTACATTTTCTTAATAGACATGTATATAAATAAACGTTTTGAAGATCATTTTTTTTCTTCATGATTGCAGGATTTACCAAAATTGGCACTGACTATAAATCATAAAGAAGTTTCCTAATGCAAAGGGAAAAATGAAATAGCATTAAAAATTCATTATTAACTGCAAGCCACTACCCGATTATTGAATTTACACTAAATGAAGTTCAAACATGTAATTTTTATGTTTTAATTAATTTTTTTGAGGAAGTAAAAAAATTTTTTTTCGAGACAGGATTTCTCTGTGTAGCTTTTGGAGCCCGTCCTGGAACTTGCTCTGTAGACCAGGAATGACCTCGACTTCACAGAGATACACCTGCCTCTGTAATGTTCATTTCTAAGTAAAAGTTTCCACAGTATTTGGGAAGCAAACTCGTGAAAAGTATATACAGTCTTGTTCTTAACCAAAGAAAACATAATTTTCTAGGTTCTAACTTCTGTTCATTTCCCCTAAATATTCAGATGGTTAAGTACTGGCACCTTCTCCTCAAACATTTACTTTTATTTTAATGAAGTGGGAAATCTGATTTTAATTATAACTGGGATGTTTAAGGTTTTTTTTTTTTTTTTTTTATCCCAGGTACAGAGAGAGTTGGTTTGGCGCTGACAATCACTGGATTTCACAGGACAATCCTTCAAAAAAAAAAAAAAAAAAAAAAAAAAAAAAAGAGGAGAAACTGCCTCAGAGGAAAACACCGACTTTCGAACTTTAAAAAAAGAAGGTGGCTCTCACAAAACTTTAGAAACAGACAGATTCTGATCCCCTCCTTCTGTTCTACCTGAGAGAAGGCGGAAAACAGGTAGAACAGCTTTTAAAAGGTGCTAAAAATAGAAGGTGTAACGGTCCTGAGCCTTCTCAGGGCTTTGACAGATATAGGTGGGGGCGGAGCTACGAGGGTGTAGGGGGCGTGTCCGGGTGGGGAGAGATCTGGGTAGACGATCTAAATCTGGTCTCCAGGGGTGACGTCGGGGCGTGGTCAGGGCGGGTGAGGGGGCGGGGCGGAGCCGGCTGCGTCCTTTAAAAGGGCTGGAGTGTGGCGGGGGGCGGTCCGCGGAGGCTCTCGCGGTGTCATGTCTCTGTCGCGTCCCGCGTGGCCTGCAGGGCCTGCCTGGCCAGTCTCCTCAGCGCGGCCTCCTGAGGACTCTGCTGCGAAGTCACCCCGCAGCAGCAAGCGGCCTCGGCTGGAGGAGCCTGCCTATGTCTGTGAGGCAGGATGGCCGCCACTTGTGGTGCCTCGCTTGTCTGAGGTAGAAAAAGTCTGGGAGTGGTCGCCCAGACCCTTCTCGGCGTTCCTCGTTCCACAGAACCAGGGGAGCTCAGATAGTGGCGGGCAGCGGTGTGAGCTGGGATGGCAGAACAGAACGTTCCAGATGCAGCCGCTTGTGGTGCCTCGCTTGTCCGAGGCAGAAAAAGTCTGGGAGTGGTCGCCCAGACCCTTCACGGAGTTCCTTGTTCCAAAGAACCTGGGGAGCTCAGACAGTGGCGGGCAGCGGTGTGACCTGGGATGGCAGGGTAGAACGTTCCAGAGGCAGAGCTCTTGGCAGTCTAGAACTTCAGGGGCAGCAGGTTGTTGGAGGGCTATGGGAAGGTCTCGTGAACCAGGGCTGCAGGGTAGGGACACTCTGGGTGTGCGCCGTGGTGACACAGCACAAGTGAGTCTCGCTCCACCCAACACCTCCAGGCCTGAAGTCCAAAGAGTCAAACGTGAGCCCGAAGTACTTCCTGTTAGAGGGAAGGAAAATATTCTGACAGAAAAAAATTCTGTGAGACAGCCAACAAACCCATTTCCAGATGCTACATTTTCTGAGGAAACTAAGCCAGCATTATATGACATTAAGGACAGATGTAAAGCTGACAGTGTCATAACCTCAGAGAAAAAAGAAAACAACACTTCATCATCTTCACTAAAAATATCAAAAATTCAAAACCAGGCCTGCTTGGAAAGCGCCAAACCCAGCTATTTCAGAGATAACATCACAATAATTTTCCCCGAGTTTCCAAGGGATTTAAATAGCAACATGTCCTTTGTCTATTTAAAGGAAATAGCAAAGAAAAAGAATGACAAAATTATGGCATATGTTAGGGATTTCACAAACATTTTCTGGTCCCAAAATAAACCTGATGCTAAGAAACAAAAGTTACAGAATGATAAAAAAAATGTATTTGTGGAAAATGATTTTCCTGATTATGAAAGTCACCACCAGTCCCTCACTATTGAAGGGAAAATAGACTCGATCAATTTAAACTATGATCACCACAGTAGTATCTCACGTGATGTAAGATACTCTGAAAAGAATTTCGCTCTAACACTAGAAGATGCAGATTGGGAGGGAACAGAAAGGAATCTAGACTGTTGCATATTTACTAGACAAGAAGAATCCCAAAACTCATATAACAGATCTATTTTGAAAAGAAAGAGGCAAAATTGTTGGATAATAAAAAAATTTAGGATTATCTGTGAAGCTATGAAAAAACTTGGAGAAAATTTGAATTTGGCACAGTTATTAGAGACTGACCTTTTAAACAAGGGAGACAATCACAGTGCAAAAGTCAGAAATGTGCCTGAACAACAGTCAAAGACTCTGACGTTAGGAATTCTGGGTACTTTCCCCGATTTAATAAAGGTTGTTTGGTTCAATGGTAAAGGTAAAAATGCCAAAATACTGCAGCTGACATACTATACTGCACAAAAATACATCTTAGGAAATAAAGACAGTGCTTTAACTTGTCATCAAAAGCTAACATGTGAAAGGAAGATTAATATTCAAAGGAGTGGCACTTTGAGCGAATTTTTACAAATAAACTTCGATTTTTTCATCAGAAATGGAGATGACTGGGAATCAGAATTGGAATGCATTTTCAAAATCATAGTTCATTTGGATTGTTTGAAAAATATTATAAAGGAAAGTCATACTGAAGATCTAACAAGGATGTTCATTTCTTCAAGACCATTAGAAAATAACACAAACTCCATGGCAAAGAAAAGAAAGCTAGTTAAAATGGAATACGTTCTTGAAGGGGCTAAGAGACACAATATCAGTTCTCTTACTGTAGCAACTAAAAGTTTTCCAATTTACAAACCACATGAACATATTCCTTTTTTAATGGATTTTGATGACATGGAAGGACTTTCTTTGACAAAAGAACCTAGTTATGAGAGTGTAAGTTGTCCTGAACGACTCCTAAATATGGAAAATTGGGCTTACTATAGTTTTAGTATTGCTAGCACAGATGTGAAGTCTGATACTCTATTTATACAGAATAACTGTGGACATATTAGTGAAAAATATTATGAAAGTGGTATGTACAATCAGGATTTAGATATTGTAAGGAAACAGAAGCATAAGACCCCTCACTTTAAGTTCATATTTGAAGATGTCTTTAATATTCAGCAGCTGGGCACATTGTTTAGCCAAAACACAATATATAGTGACCAGATGAATGCTATGGTGATAACCCAGAAGCTCAGCTTGGAGAATCTGTTAGGTGAAATAGGATGGAAAATATCTGATTTCATTGTGAAGAAGGATATAAAGGTCTTAGGAAGTTTAAGAAGTTGCCAAGTTCATAAAGCTATCAACACAGAGAAGGAAGAGGACAATTCTCCCCCAATTGGCAGAGTGTCTTCAGTGCAGTTAGCTTCAAGAGTGAAAAAGAATGGAAATATGGGGGAAACTAAATCTGCTAATCAGAATAAAGGAACTAACACAAAAGAGGATGGAGGTATTTTGCAAGAAAGCGAGTTAGCCCATTCAAAGCGTTTTTGTCCAGAGAATGACTCTACATTGTATGCTGATCATCAGTTTGAAAGTGATTCAAGTAGGGAGAACAATGGATGTTTTCAGGGCTTAACTACTAAATGTTTATCAACAGAAACTCTGCCAACAGCAAAAGATTTTGAGATGAAGAGTAAATTTGATTTAGTACTTGAAGAGCTTCGTATGTTTCATGAAATTAGTAAGGAAGATGAAATTCCAAATATCCCAGAAACAAACAACAGGAAAGAAAATTACTATGGAGAAAGTAATGATGTTAAGGAGGCAAGAATTGAGATAGAAAAAGATTTGGAAATGGTTGAAGTCAACAAAAGAAAAGTGCCTTGTTTGCCTTGTGATATGAAAGCAGGCCCCACCCAGCATAAAAGACAACAAGGTTTATTTACTTGGAAAACAATACCTACTCATGGAGGACAGGCGGTTCCCAATGAGTACTGTGTAAGATCAGAGGAAGAAGTGCTCCACTCTACTCCCGAGGAAGGTATGCCATTTATTTTAAAATTTCTTACTTAGTGTTAGTGTTTTTTTTCTTGTGTAAGGAAAATATATAATTTTTGGCAACAAATAAAATAGAAGAGATTGTTCATTAGTATATACTATTTCCCACAGAGATCTATTAAAATGTTGGATAATAAACTGAAGTTGAAGAAAACAAGCCATTTAAATTTTAAGAGAAGCTCCAGAGTCTTATTTAATTTTTCTAAATATTAGGAGCCAAAATGAAAGCACTATTTATAAGAACACAGTTTGTCAATATTGTTAACATTTGTAGACAAGTTATTTTCTCTAGAAAGGGATTTAACGAGCTAGTCAATGGAGTGATGTAAAAATTAACTTGGGCTATAATAAGTTAATGTTTAATTCCAGATTATAAGAAATCTTTACCTATAAGTCCTGCTTTTACTGCTGATGAATATAAAAAAGAAAACTACTGCAATTACTTATTGAAGGGAGGTAAGATCCTCTGTTATTTTCTAGAGTATTTTTAAAGATGGCTGCCATATTGTTTTAGATGATGAAAATAGCTTGGTACAAAAGAAATACAAAAATTTATACTTTGAAAAATACCAATGTTATTAATTCTAATAGGTAGAAACTGGCTAGAGATTAGAATAATACTAGAAATGCCCTCTGCAAAGTATGCTCAAATATTTGCAGTAGTATATGGCAATAGTCTAAGTGATAAGACACATGTTGTAAATGTGTGATTCATCATGTATGTACTATTAATTGGCAAAATACTAAACAAAAGAGAATTTATTGCAGCTGGATCCCCATTCTTGAAATGTCACTCCCAATTATGTGCTATATCATTGGTTCTCAACCTGTGGGTGAAGACTCCTTCAGGGTTTGAATGAACCCATTCACAGGGGTTCTAGATAATATATCTTGCATATCAGATATTCATATTCTTTCATTACTATTCATAACAGTAGCAAAATTACAGTTATGAAGTAGCAATGAAAATAATGTTATGGTTGGGAGTCACCACATCATGAAAAACTGTATAAAGGGGTTGCAGCATTAAGAAGGTTGAGAACCATTGCTCCATATTTTACACTTTTATGGATCTCCTAATGTAGATATTTTATAAATATAAACAATTTACTAATGCTGATATGGGTATGGTGGATGACACCTTAATCCCAGTACTAGGGAGGTATTGACAGGAGACTCTGGTACAGGTTTGAGGCCAGAAACCAAATACTCTAGCAATTACTTATTATTATTAAACTGTCAACATGATTTTTGAGTATGACTATTATACTTTTATTTCTAATTACTGTTAAAGAACACAACCAAAGAAAAACTAAACAATCACCAATAACTCTTACCTAAGAATTTTTCAGTATTAGACTAAAACAAAAATAAGTCTAGCATTTATTCTAACTTGTACCAATAGGTATAGATAAGGTTAGGACTGAAATTAGGGAACAAGGTGAAGTTAGTCTTGTAATATATTTACATGACAATATTAAATCCAAAAAGTCTACATTGCAAAGAAAATATATTTACTCAATGTCTTCAGTGAGCCACCATTTCTCATATATATATTTATATGGCTTTTCATCATCAGAAGAATGTTTTTCATTTTGTTTTTCCATTTGTCTCAACTTTTGATGAATTAACCTTAAGAATTAACTGATGCCTTTGGAAGATCAAAAGTAGAGAGGCAGTCTCTTCTCCCCTGAAAACACATGATCACTGGGGACTGATAATCCATGAGTCTAAAGAGTTAGGCTGGACAGGATGGTGTATGCTTCTTCCTAGAAAGACAGGGAACAATTGGACTTTGATTGTTGGAACAATTTGATGCAAAATAGAAAGAGGTCAGGAACACACATCCACAGTGTTGCATGTTGTGTGGCAGCTGTATTTCATATGTTGTTTAGGCCAGTGTTGCTCTGACTTGCTGTACATGTAAATCTCCTGAAGATCGAGTTATAGGATTCTGTTTCTACTGTGGCCAAGCTCTGAGATTCTGCATCTTTAACAATCTCCTAGCAGATGCAGATGCCCATGTTGCTAGGCTGTTGACCACACCCTGTGTAGCCTTGCTGTCCTGGAACTCAGTCAGTATACCAGTCTGGCCTGGAATTCAGATTCACAAGCCTCTGCCTCCTGAGTGCTGGGATTAAAGAAATGTACTACCACCACCAGCTTCATGACATGTTTTTTTTTATTTAATTTTAAAATTTAAATTAGAAACAAGATTGTTTTACATGTCAATCCCAGTTCCTTCTCCCTCTCCTCCTCCCCTGCCCCCCACTAACACCCTATCTATCCCATATCATTTCTGTGCCCCAGGGAGAGTGAGGCCTTCCATGGGGGATTCTTCAAAGTCTGTCATATCTTTTGGGATAGGGCCTAGGCCCTCCCCCGTGTGTCTAGGTTGAGGGACTATCCCTCTATGTGAAATGGGATCCCAAAGTCCATTCATATGCTAGGGATCTATTACAAGAGGCCCCCTAGATTTCCGAGGCCTCCTCACTGACACCCACATTTATGCAGTTTGGATCAGTTCCATGCTGGTTTTCCATCTATCAGTCTGGGGGCAAGAGCTCCCTCTTCTTCAGGTCAGCTGTTTCTGTGGGTTTCACCAGCCTGGTCTTGACCCCTTTGTTCATCATTCCTCCTTCTCTGCAACTGGATTCCAGTTCAGTTCAGTTTTTAGCTGTGGGTATCTGCTTCTACTTCCATCAGCTGCTGGATGAAGCCTCTAGGATGGTTTATAAGTTAGTTGTCAATCTCGTTATCAGGGGAGGGCATTTAAGGTAGCCTATCCACTGTTGCTTAAATGGTTAGTTGGTGTCATCCTTGTAGATCTCTGGACATTTCCCTAGTGCCTGATTTCTCTTTAAACCTATACTGGCTCCCTCTTTGATGGTATCGCTTATTTTGCTCTCCTCTATTCTTCCCCCTACACAACCTTCCTGCTCCCTTATGTCCTTCTCACCCCTCTTCTTCCACCCTTCTCATTCTCCTAGCTCCCTCTCCCTTCCCCCATGCTCCCAATTTGCTCAGGAGTCTTGTCCCTTTCTCCTTCTCTGGGGGACCATGTATGTCTCTTTTAGAGTCCTCCTTGTTGCCTGGCTTCTCTGGAGGTGTGGATTATAGGCTGGTGATCCTTTGCTCTATGTGTAAAATCCATATATGAGTGAGTGCATACCATGTTTTTCTTTTTGTGACTGGGTTACCTC